CATGTACCCCTTAGTTACAATACAAATTCAGAATTAGCTAAAAGCTCTTGAGTGTCTGTATGCTCACTCACCAGGCACTGGTGGCGCATGCCTTTGAGCCCAGCACTCCAGAAGCAGAGGCAGAGGCAGAGGCAGATGGATCTGAGTTCTAGGGCAGCATAGTCACAGACTGAGTTCTAGGACAGCCAGGGATACACAACAAACAAACAACTTACTCTGCCACTTTAAAGGGACAACATGGAAGAACATGGCAAGAAGCACCATTTTCGGGGCAGAAAGGCTTAAAAGGAAGAAAGTTTGAATGGACTGTTCCACGTTGAGTTCATAGAATTTCTACAAAACTTTTACTATATTCTGCATCTCAAAATCTACTGATTTCGTTTGTATGGTACTGGGGATTAAACCTTGGGCCTCTGACATGTCAGGCCAAGTACTTCCCTGCTGAGATGTATACCCAAGACTGACCTGTTAATGGTGTCCAGGTATGGGCAGTGACGACTCCTCCGGTCCTCAGAGTCCACTCGGCCATTCTTTGCTAAGAAGAAATCCACCACAGACTTTAAAATGGAAACTCGTGCTGGGATGTAACTCAGTGGTAGAGCACTTAATTAGCCAGGGCAAGATTTGTGCTTACATAGCATCATAAACAGAGGACAGCAGACTACTCAAATCACAGGTACAGTTTGTTTTATTTGTTGCTATTTCCCATGGAAATGGGAAAACTTGATCGACTAAGATTAAGATGAGCTTTTAATTTTCTTGTAATGACAACATTCCAAAAAAAGCTACACACTGAGAATGGATCTATTACACATATAAACAAGAGATTAATTCACATATTACATGAAGAAATCCAGGCAAGTTGCACAGCTTAGTAAAGGTACTTGCCACCAAATCTAATTACCTGAATTCAATCCCTTGAACCTTCAAGGTAGCAAGAGAGAATAACTCCCACAAATTGCCCTCTGACCTCCACATGTACACCATGGTACATGCATACACATATATAAATAAGTAAATTACTAAACCTTTTTTTCACCATGTATGGTGGTGCACACACCATTAATCCTAGCCCTTGGGAGGGAAAGACAGGAGAAATCTGAGTTCAAGGTCTATGGAGAAAGTTCCAGGCCAGCCAACACTACTTATTAAGACCCTGTAAATAGCCAGGGGGTAGTTTCTGTTGCCTTTAATCCCAGCTCTCAGGAGGCAGAGGTGAGCCCCTGGGCCAGCCTGGTCTAAAGAGCTAGCTAGTTCCAGGTCAGCCAGTCTGCACAACCCTGTCTCAAAACAGACAAAACAAAACCCAATATATCCCAAGTATTAAGATAAGCTGAGCATCTTAAATCTACCATTTGTCCAAGAACTATGAAGGTTCTGAGAGTTAATCCTACTGGCAAGCTAATTTGTTAGCTTGCTACAGCTTCCTGGACATTGATGGAAAGCATATAGTCAATGACTAAAACAGTCTATTAAAGCAATAACAGTAGTCAATAATACGACATCTTCGCCAGTTCCTGGAGACAAGTCACACAAGAGAATAGAAAGAGAGCAGTGCTCACAGTGGATGGCCTTATTTAAGAAGAACCCTGTCCTTACAGAAGGAGATACTATCTGCTTGTGAGCTTATGTCCCTTTTGCTCTATAGAAAAATACAATCTGCCTCCCAAGGCTGGTCACTGTATCAACATCCTTGACAAGACTATGCAAAAGCCCTGCAACAGTCTCCTGCAAAAACCAGGAGAAGCAGAACTGTCTCCAAACTACTGAACTAACACGGTCAGTATTTAATCGGGTGCACAGAGAGAGATCTCGGCTGAACCGGCTTATTCCAGATGCTACAACTCCCTTGCATCTTAAGAATTTTGCAAAAACTGGAGAAGGGAATATCTGTAAAACTCTCAGCAGTGCACCTGACCCACGTGGTCTATTCCATAAAGGGATCCATGATAACAACGTTTAAATTAGACAGTTCAGTCTGGATTCAACCTTGAGCAGGGAAGCATACAAAGTAAGAAAAAGTAAAAATAAATAAATAAATAAATAAATAAATAAATAAATAAATAAATAAAGCAAGCGAGCGAAAAACGGCAGGAGGAGAAGGCAAGAGGACTGGCTCTACGGTCATCTCTGGCTACAACAGCAGCTTCCAGAAACGGCAGGAGGAGAAGGCAAGAGGACTGGCTCTACGGTCATCTCTGGCTACAACAGCAGCTTCCAGAGACCCTGCCTCAAAAAGAGAAAAGGGGGAAGAGAGGAAAGCAGGCGAGGGTGAGGGCGCCCCCGGATCGGCCCGGCCCGGCCCGGCCCCGCGCACCTCGCACCTCCCGCTCGGGCTCCGAGTCCTCGTCGGCCTCGCGCTCCCGCTTCACCCTCACGGCCGGCGGCGCGGGCTCCGGGACCTCTCGCGCTGTCGGCTCGGCTTCCCGCTTCACGCGGACCGGGCTGCCCCGGGAGCCCGCCGCCTCCGGCTCCCGCTCCCGGTCTCGCTCCTTCTTGATGCGACCCGAGCTACCCCGCGACTCGGACTCGCGCTTGCCGCGGGTGGAACCGTGAGACTGCCGCTTGGACCGGCTGGACATCGCCGCCGCCGGCTAGGAGCTTCCGCGCTGGCGCCGCGCACTGGAGGCACGCGACCAATCAGGAGCCGAGCCCGCCGCAGACGCGCCGCAGCTACGAGTCGCCGAGAGGGACAATACTGCCGACTGTACTCTAAAAGGCGCTACCCGCCCAGTTGAGACAACTGTGAGCCTAAGCTTCTTTATCCATCGCCTCTTCACAGCTTAAAGAAATGGGAACCTTTCACAGGCTACGGTGATTGTAGAAGAAAGGTAGCTGGCATTCGACCCTAATATCTTCAAGACAGTTTGTGTCTCGAAACTTCAATCCAGAGATGTCTTCTGATCCAGAACTGATACCCTACACAGAAAACATAATCAGTATTCCCAAATTATCTCCTTCATTCACGCTTGTGCCTGGGAACTTCAATTAGTACCATATTTACAGGGCTCTTGAAATAAGAAAATTGCAAATACTCTTCCAAGGCTCACTTACTGTTTAGCTAATAAAACTTCAAATTCAGTCTTAACCACCGAGTCATGCCTTAGTCCCTGCCTATTGGAACAGTTCCATTGAGGTAAAATTGACATATACAGTACCACATGTTTGACGAGTGTCATTTGCTAAATTCTGATGTGTGAACACTTGTGAATCCATTGACATAATCAAGAGAAGAAACTCCAGAAATGTCCTTGTACTCCTGTGGAATCCCACCCAAACCACTGGATGACTCCATTTCCTAGAATTTCATACTCAAGAGTTACACAGTGTTAACTCTTTCTGACCTAGCCTCTTTTACACCTGGCATGTAGGCAATCTATCCCTTTACATTTTCACATTTTAAAATAAGGACTACATACATACATATATGCACACGCACGCACACACACACCCCCACACACGCACACACACTCAGACTGAGGCAGAAAAAGAATCCCAAAGTTTAAGGCCAGTCTGAGCTACACGGTTAGGTTGAGACTATCCTGAGCTACAAAGCAGGAGGAAAAGAAAGAAGGAAGAGACAGCTATAACATTATTAGACCCTGAAAAGCCTTGGCTCCTCCCTTGGCTCCCATGGGCACAGTTAAGCAAGTGATCTAAGCCGGGACAATGCAGGCCCAGTGTGGCTGAATAGGGGCTGGGAAAACATAACTACCTGAGCACTTGCCTGTCTCACTACCTATGAGAGATAGATGTTCTTAGTATGTGCACTTGAAAACAAGCAAGCAACTGGGGAGACGGCTCAGTTGGAGAGAATGCTTACTGTACAAGCATGACGACCTGAGTTCAAATCCCCACACTCACGTAAAAAGCCTAAAGCAAACTGGGCAGTGGCAGCCCGAGGACCTGAGTTCAAATCCCCACACTCACATAAAAAGCCTAAAGCAAACTGGGCAGTGGCAGCCCACACCTTTAATCCCAGCACTTGGGAAGTAGAGGCAAATGGATCTTTGTGAGTTCAAGGCCAGCCTGGTCTACAGAGTGAGTTCCAGGGCAACCAGAGCTAGACAGAGAAGCTCTGCCCGAGGGGTGGGGGGGAGCTTACAGTAGGCATGGCCTGCACATGTCTATATCCTGGCCCTTTGGAGGTGGAGACAGGAGGCTGCCAGCTTAACCACAGGCTCAGCGAGAGACCCTATCTCAAAAGGACAAGTAGAGGGTACAGACCAAAGCACCTGGTGTCCTCCTCTGGGCACGTGCGCGCACGCACGCGCAACACACACACACACACACACACACACACACACACGCACGCACGCACGCACGCACGCACTGCACACCACAAACACACACAAATATAAGGAAACTTAGGCACAATTGGATCAGAGTCAACCAAGTGGCATATATAACATTTTCTTTTTTCTTCTGCCAAAAAGAATGAAATTATGCCATTGCAGGGAAAAGGTGAACCTAGAGATCATGTTAAGTGAATTTAGTAAGATTTGTAAAGATGAATCACAAATATTTCACGTTTTTCCCATACGCAGAACCTAGATTTAATGCTCTGTGTGTATGTGTGTGTGTTATGAAAGAGCTGGAAGAGGCAAGTTAGAGATCTAGAGGAAAAGAAGGAGCAAAGACAATGGAATGACAAAGTATCATTTTCTCATGAACAGAACCTGCCCTGTGTGAGAATAAACAGATACACATATACATATGTATATATTTGATTCCATAATGAAGCTCATCGTACTGTACTCTAAAGAACTTTAAAAGGCTAGAAAAGAAAGCCAGCATCTCTAGAAGTAGTTCCAGTGTCCGTAGATGACTCGCATATTTTATAATTCCCTGGCACATCAGCTTCTTTCGTATTGGTGACGTTACAAAGAAAGCAAAACTCCCGCCCTAACGGCGCTCCACTAGACAGCATCCCCAAATTCCGAAAACATAATGCTCCGCCTCACTGGCTGCTACGCAACCGGAAGAAGGGCGTCGAGCCGGAAGTCCCGGTCCGCAGCCGGAAGTCGAGCTCCGCGGCTGGCGGCTTCAGTTCTGCGGCCGTTGTGGCGGTTGCTGCAGCTCTACGCCCAGTATCTGGATGGAGGCGGCACGGGATCCAGGCCCGGGGCTGTGCTGCAAGCCCGGCGGGCGTCTGGACATGAGCCACGGCTTCGTACATCACATCCGCCGGAACCAGATCGCTCGGTACCGCCCCGCCCCAGGCCCGGCCCGGCCCGATTCGGCCGGGTGACAAGCGCCTGACTCCCGCTCGGCTCCCCCGCAGGGACGACTACGACAAGAAGGTGAAGCAGGCGGCCAAGGAGAAGGCGAGGAGGCGCCACACACCCGCACCCACGCGGCCCCGCAAACCAGACCTGCAAGTGTACCTGCCTCGCCACCGAGGTGAGCAGCGGCCCCGCCCCCGGGAAAGCTCCGCCCCCGGGAAAGCTCCGCCCCCGGGAAAGCTCCGCCCCGGCAAGCCCCCTCTGCTCAGTGTCTCTGCCCTTACAGAAGCCACTGCCTCAGCGCCCCCAGATCTCCGCTTTAGGGCTCGTGACCCCAGTTAAGCAACACTGTTAGTGAAGGTACATGGGACCCGGGCCAGGAATCACTGACCACCGGCGTGGTCTGCCGTGCTGCAGACCGGCCACCTGGAAGAGAGAAAAATCTAGCTGAAATTTAAGTGAACCCAGTAAATGGCCTTTTCCCGGTTTTCCTGTGCCCATGAACTCACTTTGGCCAACACGTGACACTAAGTTTGTGTGCTGTTATCTACAGATGGTTTAGATCTTGAGTACATTAACCCACTGACTCCATAGGACACCATAAGCTGAAAACTGTTATCTCTGTTTCACCGTCCAAAGAGGTGGAATGATGAGTTGTCCAACATCTCAGAACTAGTAAACGGCAGAGCCTGGATATGAACCCGGGTAGCCCATCCTTTCAGCGGCTTGCAGTGATGTTTGCTGGAGGCATGTGCACCTTGTACCTTCTCTGTAACAGAACCCTATTAGAGTAGCATAGGAAGGAGAGTTAAAATCCTGCCTGACGGTCCCCAAACACACACCCTGTGTTCACATGCGTAGACACTCAGAATCGTCGGGAGCTCGGAGGCTTTCCTGGTGCTCTTTTTCTGATCGTGTCTGTGGACAGAGGTCTTAGCAGCACCCCCCCCCCTTCCCTCTCATTCTGGTTTGCCCTTACAGATGGCTCTGCCCACCTGGCCAGCCCAGACTGTGAGGAGTCCGGTGAAAGCAGCAGTAGTGGGAACTCGGAGCCGGAGCCCCCTGGCCGCCAGCTCTTCTGTTTAGAATATGAGGCGGACAGTGGAGAGGTCACATCAGTTATTGTGTATCAGGTACGCCTTCTGGAAACAGCCGCAGCTTGAAGGTCCTGGGCCGATGTTTATCTCGGGACCAGTGGGAAAAACTGTCCTCCACATGGAACTGCTGGCTGGGCATTGCCATCAGGTACAACTTTCTCAGCACACAGTGATTCTTAGTTGGGGGGACAGAGAGAATCTATGACTCTAGGTTGAGAACCAGTATTACAGGGGACTCTTTTGGCCATACGCCAAACAATTCTGTGTAGGGACAGGGCAGGAAGAGACCTGAAAGAGACGCCTCTAAGCTTCCTGACTCTTGCTCTGTGTAGGATGACGATCCCAGAAGGGTGAGTGAGGAAGTATCAGCACATACACCTCTGGACCCAGCCATGCGAGAGGCCCTCAGATTGCGCATCCAGGAAGAGCTTGCAAAGCGCCAGAGCCGACACTGACCAGGCTGAAGGCATTCAGGCAGGATTCTCTGTACTTGGCAGAATTTCACCCAGGGAACTTACCCCTAGTTTGGGGTACCAGGACCAGTCCATATGATCTTCAGGGATCCTTGTCCTCCTCTCCAAGCTGCTGTATCCACAAAGGTGTTGCAGGACCGCGTCTGGCCTACCTCCCAGCAGCAGTTCTTTTATGTATGTTGACCCATTTGTCTGACCTAACATTCTGGAATCTTATGACAGTTTTGGCTAATTTGGTATTTTGGGAGCAGAGACTTCAGAGAGAACTGGGGCTTTTGAAGCCTTTGCCCACATGCACCTGTCTTGATGAGGTTATTTGCTCTTCCGTTCCATGAGCCATATTTGTTATTTTGTGGTTCTTTGGTGTTTCTTCTTTCTTCTACCCATCTTCCCGTAGACCAGTTGTCACTTTTCCTGTCTTTTGCCGTGGGTAGAATCCATTTCTCCTACCCTCCCAACATGACTGTTTCTCTACTACTCAGGAATTTGGAAGTGGGGCTTCTGGGAACCTGCCTTCCTACCAAGTTCTCCAAGTAATTCTGATGCCAATAAAACAGGAGAACTTTGTTTTTGAGGCCTATTTGGAAACATATCTCCTTCCCCTTCAATGGCTTTCCCAAGCTGATCATACGCCCCACAGCTTTGCACTGTGTAGAAGACTGTAGGAAGAAGACACTGAGCCAAGCTTCTATCATCTGTTGGAAAACCTGCCTTCTTGGAGTGGTGGCACACACCTTTAATACCAGCATTCAAGAGGTAGAAGCAGGAAGCTCTCAGCTGTCTGTAAGTTCAAGGCCAGCCTGGAACAAAGGGCGTTCCAGGTCTCTATAGAGAAACCCTAGCTCAAAAAAAAAAAAAAAAAAAATGGTTAAAAAAGAAAAGAAAAACCTGCCTTGGCTAGGCCTACCAAATTCACTCCCAGCTCAGACTAGAGGGAATTATCAAAACAAACTTGAAACTAACTCTTCAATCATGGTTTAATACTATTGAATTATTGAAGTTGGAAAAGTTCACAATAGCTATAATTGCCTCTTTTCTTTTTGGCGGGGTGGGAAACTGTGGTTGTAAAAAGAGAGAGAGCGAGTCCTGAAGAATACCGTGGACCAAGTGAACTGAACACTTCTTCACCCCATGCTTTCTTCTTTCCTGCCTGCCAAGAATATGTGTGAGCGAGGTTATGCACCCCTGTGGCCCCAGCATGCAGGAGGCCGAAGTAGGAGGATTGCTACAATTTAAAGGCCAACCTCAGCTGTTTGAAGAAAAAACTAAATCAATGTAATTTAGATCCTCTGGGTGAAGATCCCCAGGCATAGCATTTTTCCAACAAGGGACATGTTTTCCAACACAAGATTAGGCTAAGGTCTGAAGTCCACAACACATCCTGTGCACAGGAATTCAGAGGCACCTGGGGTTTCCAGGAAATGAGCCTAGCTTCAGCAGCTTGCAGTGTGAGTTGTGAAAGAGCCTAGCAGCATTGAGGCTGCCTGCAGCCAAACCCCCTACCCCAGGGTTTGTCTTCTATATGAGGGTCTCAAGGGCATTCTGACTGTCAGCGTAGTAGTTTTTCCCTTCAAGGACACTTGGGGGCTCCACTGGGTTTCATCCTACTCTGCTGAAAACATGTAATGGGGCTGGGCATCTACTTTATGCCATGCAAAGGAATTCTGGGGCAGTGGGTTAGGTGGTAAGTTAAAAGGGCCTGGTTGTGGATGTGGCTGGGGACCTAACTGCTCTGGGCCCAGAGAGCTGGTCCCAGGGATAAGTGCCTTAAGCTTGTTCAGGCCTAAGCCCAGTTTTGCTGTCAAAGGGAAACCCTTTACCCTGTCCTGTGCACAGGTGCTGTAAGTGCCTTTGGGCTTCCATGGTTCGACACCATGCAGAGCTCCAGGGTGACGGAGTTTCTGCCAGACTGCACACTCTTCATCCAGCACAGTCTCCAGCTAATCAGTCCATTTCCTGACTTGAAACACAAGAGTCACTGGCTGCTTTGAGGGTCTGTGTTCTTAGGGCTTCATTTCCTATTTCTTGGTTCAGTTATTGAACCTAGAAAAAAATAGACCAGAAGAGAAATCTGAGAACCCAGCTTCTAAAAATGTGCCTCTATTCCCACTTCTTGAAAAAGGAAGAAATAGAGGAACAGAGCCCTCAGTGTAGGCCTTTTATGTGTTTATGTGGTCCACACCAAGACTTCCTCAGATGGGAGACCAATGGAAACTCCTCTAAGCCTTTTTTCTAGAAGCACTTTGCTTATCGGGTGTGTATGAAAGATTTTCTAGCCAAGAAAGCACTCTTGATTCTTAGCTAATTTGTCCTGAAGCTCCAAACCTGTGCTTACACGAAGGGCGGTCATTCTGAGCTGGCCTGTTGGAGCAGATGCTGATGTTTTCCAGGTATCCCTGAAATGCCTCTCCGGGGACCGTGCCTCAGCCATATGGCTTAGCTGCATTACTCTGCTGCTGGGTTCTGGGGTCCATGATTGTACTGCTCATTTTATTTGGCAGACCTGCTTCTAGATGTCTCTTAACCTGTTTCAGAACTCACAGGCTCTCAGAACTGCCCTGTGTTGTGGCACAGTAGAAGCAGCCATAGGCAGGGCTTACAGCAAACTGCTTCAGAATCAACACTCATTTGAGGAGATAATGTTCTTGGCTGTTTGTTTTTGAGGGTGGGGATATGGGGGTAAGGCAGGCTGGGCCAGGTAGAATGGCACATGCCTGTAATTCCAGCATTTGAGGCTGAGATGAAAGGTTTGCCATATAGCCAGGCATGGTGACACATGTTGTTAATTGCAACACTTAGGCTGTAGAAGCAGGAACGTCTCTTGAGTTTGAGGCCAGCCTGGTCTACGTAGCAAATTCCATGATAGGCAGGACTACATAGAAATGCCCTCTCAACTCCTCCATCTTAACTCAACCCCCCAGAAAGGCAGGAAGGTCTCTTGAGGCCAGCTTGAGCTACGTAAACCTTTATCAAACAAAAGTATCGTTCCTGCTCTCTATGGAATATTTCTTCCCTCAGTTCTTATTAAGCTTGTACTTCACAATTTTATAATTCCTGGACCAGAGTTTACATTTAGAGAGAGAGAGAGAGCTCGCACTGGTTTTGCAAGGGGCTTGGGCTATGTGGGCATACATGATAAAGCTGGAGTTGTGGCCCATTGGCAAGCATAAAAGTCTTTGAAGAGTGTAGTGCAAGAAGGCAAGAGAGATATTGTGTGTGCCATGAGAGTACTGTATGCACTGGCTACAGTCTAGCCAGTGATGGGTCTGGTGTGAATGTGGAAGAATATTCCATCTCTCTGGTCATCTGGGATTCACTGCCAACTAGAGATCAACCCAGATCGAACCTCTTTGGGATGGTAAGTATTTTCAAACTGCAGTGTTTGACAAGGTTTGTGAATAGCAGAGTAGTGCTTCCCAAATAACTCAAATGAGACCTTTGTAAAAAGGACAGATGACTTTCCTACCTCTGAGCCGTTTGGGAAAATCTCATGGAATGTTGACAGTTATTTCAAACCTTAACTACTTTGGATCCCTAGCCTGTCCCTGGCAGCCCTAGGCATCCAGCCCAAATTTCCATAGGAGTTGGAGTGATGCTAGAAGGGAAAGCCTTCCTAATAAAGAGCTCGTCTCCTCCCAGAGCCAACAGAACAAGAGGCTGTGAATGGTGGTGAACAGTTCAAGAGACGGAGACAGGAAGAGCACTGTACACTCAAGAGCAGCATAAATTATATAGCAACTCCTTATCTCAAAAAAAGTATCAGTGTAGTGGCTGTGCCATGGCGCTAAATGTAGAAAAAGCCATACATTCTCATCTCCGGTGTTTGTGTATAAATAAAATGAATTATGCAAGCTGTTTGAAAATTATGGAAGGCACTTTTTTAACCAATAAACTATTTTCACAGCACTGCTTTTGCCAAGAGTTGTGAAATCACTTGTGTACTTGGGGAGGGAGGTTACATGCCTGCCTCTAAAGTCACTCCACTACTGAATCAGCACTGGAAATCTCACGTCTTGCTGTGCTAACGATTTTAAGAGCTCTTCTGGTCAGAGTATAACAGTTAGAGTCACGTAGCATAAAAGTTGAAACTTAAAGACATCTGGTCCTACTGGTGCTCTCTTAGGCAGCTTCCTCCTTCGCTTGTCCATAAACAACCCCGCCCTTATCACGACCTGAATCTTAAGAGTAATTCTGTTTTAGGGATTATTTAGGTTGATATATTAAACCTAAAAGTGCCTCCAGTGGTACAGCTCCAGAGTTCGGGTAACCTCAACACCATGTCAGAGTAGTCAATAGTGCTTGTGAAATCCTCCAAGCCACCCCCACCCCGTGATGGCTTAGAGACACAAGCCCAGCTCGACGGGACACAGCTGGATGCCATGGCCATATAGTCCTGTGACACCCATGCTGAGGCAGGAGGGGACGGCAATCAAGAGCGGGGCTTGGCGGAGCGCGCCTTTAATACCAGCACGCGCGGTGGGGGACATACATGTAAAGTGTGGGGGCGGGCGGTGGGGGATATACACACATGTAAAGTGTGGGCGGGCGGTGGGGGACATACACACATGTAAAGTGAGGGCGGGCGGTGGGGGATATACATACATGTAAAGTGCGGGCGGGCGGTGGGGGACATACATACATGTAAAGTGCGGGCGGGCGGTGGGGGACATACATACATGTAAAGTGCGGGCGGGAGGTGGGGGACATACATACATGTAAAGTGCGGGCGGGCGGTGGGGGACATACATACATGTAAAGTGCGGGCGGGAGGTGGGGGATATACATACATGTAAAGTGCGGGCGGGAGGTGGGGGACATACATGTAAAGTGTGGGGGCGGGCGGTGGGGGACATACATACATGTAAAGTGCGGGCGGGAGGTGGGGGATATACATACATGTAAAGTGTGGGCGGGCGGTGGGGGACATACATGTAAAGTGCGGGCGGGCGGTGGGGGACATACATGTAAAGTGTGGGGGGCGGGCGGTGGGGGACATACATACATGTAAAGTGTGGGCGGGAGGTGGGGGACATACACACATGTAAAGTGTGGGCGGGCGGTGGGGGACATACATGTAAAGTGCGGGCGGGCGGTGGGGGACATACATGTAAAGTGTGGGGGCGGGCGGTGGGGGACATACATACATGTAAAGTGTGGGCGGGCGGTGGGGGACATACATGTAAAGTGTGGGCGGGCGGTGGGGGACATACATGTAAAGTGTGGGCGGGCGGTGGGGGACATACATGTAAAGTGCGGGCGGGCGGTGGGGGACATACATACATGTAAAGTGTGGGGGCGGGCGGTGGGGGATATACATGTAAAGTGTGGGGGCGGGAGGTGGGGGACATACATACATGTAAAGTGTGGGCGGGCGGTGGGGGACATACATATAAAGTGTGGGCGGGCGGTGGGGGATATACATGTAAAGTGTGGGGGCTAAAAGCACCGCTGCTCTTCCAGAAGACAAAGGTTCAATTCCCAGCACACAGCCCCGAACCCTGGTCCCAGAGGATCCACGACAAGCATGTGCACAGACTTACAGGTAAGCAAAACACCATACATATAAAGTAATAAAAATAAATCATACTTTAAAAGTTCACCAGCCAGATACAGAGAGTACCAGCAGCAGGACTACATGGTCCCTACCTTGAGGGGAAGAAGCTAACCAGGTGTGGTGCTACATGCCTGTAATCCCAGGCTAAAGCCAGAAGGATCACTAGTCAGAGTAGTCTGGCTACATAATAGGACACTGTGTTGGGGGGGCGGCTTTCAATGATCGTTCCCAGTCCCATTTGAACAGGTAAGAACACGGTGCCTGGTTAGGTTGCGATGTAGTGGGACAGGAAGATACTGCTGTTACTGAGAGATGAACCTCTGTCCCTACAGTCAGAAGCTGGGCTGGATTTTACAGGAAGATACTGCTGTTACTGAGAGATGAACCTCTGTCCCTACAGTCAGAAGCTGGGCTGGATTTTATACCCACCTCCACCCCTGTCACTTCAGTCAAGCTAAACGTGTCCAGTGACCGCTGCATAACCATATTTCTTGGCCCTGTTTTCAGTAAGTCCCGATGGTAAGAGGGAAAGGGCCATTGAGTGGTTTCCTATACCATTTGTGTCCTCCACTTGGATCCCCAAAAGGTTTCTCCTCTTAAAGCCCCAATTCACAGTTTGTTCTGCTCTATTTTCCTTCAGCATAAGGAACTTTGTCAAGCTAGTCTTGACGTCACCAGTCCGACTCCCACTGCTACCAGTCTGGGGTCGTGCCCCTTGAGATAATGATCTCAGGGTGGTCTCAAGGGGCTGCCCTATAGGCAGACAGAGACACCTATGGTGTGCGAGCAGAGGTCGCCATCCCTTTTCCATCAAGAAGAGAACGTTGAGTACACTCTCAATTGAAAGGAGAGAATGACAATGTATTCCTACATAGTCCTGTTTCCTCTTCCCACATTCCCCTTGAGTCCCTCACCTTCCCCTCTAGTAACGAGCACCTGCGGTGTGTTCATCATTGCCGGCTCTACTCAGACACCTGTATGCATTTAGTGCCCTAAACCTCATTTAAGTGTTGAGTCGTTAGTCGGGAAACTTCTTGGACACGGTGACTTCTGGCCAGTACTCTGTGTTCTTGTGTGTCCCCAAAATAAAAATAAAAGCAGCCCTCTTCTAGAGTTTGTAATGGGGCTGGCCGGAGGGTAGGGGTGGGGTGGGCAAAACCAAAACCAGCGTGCTTTGGGTTTCCTAAGCCAGGCGCTTGGCTTTCTCACCCACCTGCCTCGTGCCGAGGCTTGGGGCGCCTCGGAAAGGTAGGGAAGAGCCTCCCCCAAGCCTGAGCAGTCCGCCGAGGCAGTGGAGGAAGGCTTCTTCCAGCCACGTGCACGGTGACAGCCACAGGCAACAGTCACGGGAGGAGCCGCAGGGCTAGCCGGCCCGCACTCCCACCGCAGGAATGACAAACGCAACTGCCCTCTAGACCTCGGCGTCGGAGGTGTCCGGGCCATCGCCCCGGGCGCCCAGGTCCCCTGGACTTGGGGCACCGCCCACGTCTCCCCCGTGACATTGCCGCGGGGGCTCGGGAGTTGTAGTCTCGGGCGGGGCGCAGGCACCGGGGCCGGGGCTACGCGGACTCCACGTCCCGGCGGGCGGCGCGGCGGGCCTGGGGCCGCTAGGGGCGGGGCCGCTCGGCCCTTTAAACCTTTCAGGGCTGCTCCGAGGGCCGCAGCTGGAGACGCAGCCACGAGGGGGCTGAGCGGGGAGCGGCAGCGGCGGGGCGCTCCGGGGAGGTGCGTACTGGACTTCTTTTCTCTCTCGGGGCTTCCAAGGCATAGCCTTGGGGGAGCCGGGCTCCGGAGGGAGGGGGAGTTGTCGCTGGCTGCGGACTCCTACCCAAGCCGGGGTCCCGGTGCCCACGCCAGCAGGACCGGGTCGGGCTTCCCTCGAGAACCCGCCCCTTTGCCGGGGCGCGGTGGTCAGGTGGTTTGCCCGCACGCCAACGCCTCGCAGCAGCTCTCTCGGTCGGTGCACCCTCCCAGGCTTTCCTTGGCATGATCCCCTTGATTGTCCTAGCTCCAGCCTTCATTCACCAAGCCGGTGTCCCTCAGGCCGGGGAGCGTGGCTGTCTTTCCAGATGCTACAGCCCTGCCCGAGGCTCTCAGCGCGCCGGTGGCATTTGAGTAGCTCGCAGAGACCCCAGATGGATAGCCAGAGGGTGCCACGTTCCGGCTGGGGCTCAGCCCAAAGTCTGGACAGTCGAACGCTCCGGGAGAGCTCGGGATGAAGTGTTGCCCACCCTCCCCCTCCCCCCGCCCTCCCCCTCCGCCCTGGCCAGTCACCAGACCCTGGACCTTGATCTCTCTCCCCCACCAGGCCAGGGCAGCTGATGATTGTGGCCGAAATATCTCAAGGTAGCTGGGCCTGCCCCTTCTTTCCCACCTACCTGTTGTCCTTACCCCCAAACACCACCACCCTGGCTCCATTCCCTCATGACCGCCTGGATCCTCCTTCCTGTCAGCTTGTCAGCATTCTCCATCACGGGCATATGGACAGTGTGAGTAAGAGGGGTGTGGGTTGAGGGGGGCCTAACAGGAGTTTGGTGGCACACACACAGTCAGTTGACCTGTTTGTAGGCCCCAGAATGGTAGGTACACAGGGCCGTTCTGCTGGTCTCCAAAGCTTGGCCTGATTCCTGGGCACACAAGCCTCACGAGACAAGCTGGTACCACAGCAATCCAGCAAGACAGGCTCCGGCATATACTTCTAGGCAGGGCAACTTCCGGAGGGTCTTTGGTTGGAGGCGATTCTGCGGGCTTTGCTACAGCATCGGTCGGTACCTACCTCCTCGCCTCACCAAATGACAACAGCATGGACAGTGAGGCTGATTTAGGCCAAAGGTCAAAGAGCCAGGAGGGGGTGGCTGGGCCCGAAGAGAAGGTGACAGTCTACTTCCACAGGTATGCCATGGCCGTGATGAACCGCCACGTGTGTCCAGTAGAGAATTGGTATGGAGCGCTCTGCAGATGGTCTCTCTTTACCGCTGTCCCTGTCTGAGCCCACAAGCTGCATAGAGATCATAGGCCTCATTGCTGCACTCTGACATTGGTCTCCAGGCTTGATGTCCTGTCCAGCCACCCATTCCCATCATCCCTTCCTCCTCTTGGCTTCTGCTTCACGTAGGCCCCGGGGGGAGGGCTCAAAGATTTCTCTTTGAAGCTTAAGGCTCTAGGCCAAGGTTTTGAGACACTCCTTCCCCCAATCTACCACATGTCCTACCTGCCAGGTCCTACAATGAATCCTGCTCTCCTGACCCTGCTGAACAAGGGGGCCCCAAGACCTGCTGTACCCTTGATGATGTCCCTCTCATCAGGTAGGTCCTGGAAACTGGGCAGACCCAGGTTCCTCCACATTTCCAGAAACTCTCTCAAGCAAAAGAGTGTCCCTGGATCTCAAGCCAATTAATACCCAAGGCTAGTGGCAAAGGGCTAAAATCCTAGCACTTGGGAAACAGAAGACGAATTCAAGGCCTGCCTGTGCTATATGAGAGAGACCCTGACTCAGTGGAGAGAGACAAGGGAGCCTGGACATTGGACATGTAGCTCACTTGGCAGGACACCTGCATGGCACCACACAAAACCAGACGTAGTAGCACATGCCTGCAATCCCAGTACTCTAGAGACTGAGGCAGGAGGGTCAGAAGTTCAAAGTCATCCCCAGCTGGTTTTGGCTGGCCTGAGCAAGGTAGGACCCTATTTCAAAGAAATAAATGCGCTACTTGCTATTTCTAGAGCTGGGCGTCCTGTTGAGTTTCATATGCCAGTAGTGCCTTTTAATCCTTCCTTCAGCTTAGCTTCTGTACTTTTCACCGCTTTTGATGTGGAAACAGGCTTGGAGATACTCACTCAGGTCACACAGCTAGCCAATCAAAGTACCCGGATTGAAAGTTAGCACTTCTGAGTGTCCAACACAAGCTCAAGGAATCCGGCAAGCCTCAGCAAGCAGTCTCAGATCTGCCAGGCACCGTGGGGCACCTCTCTCTCTCTCTTATACACGAGCTCTATTTAAACCAGAGGCTTGCCTGCTGAAGGCCCAAACACAGATAAAGCCCCCTCCCCTGGGGGGGCATTGGAGGGGGGATGTTGGAGGGATTTTGGGGGGTGTTGGAGGGATGTTGGGGGGTGTTGGAGGGGTAAGAGGCCACGGGTGCTTCTGCCTCACGGTCCTCACCCCTCCCCCTCAGCAAGTGTGGAACATATCCCCCAGAGAGCTGCCTCTTCAGCCTCATTGGCAACATGGGTGCTTTTATGGGTGAGTGATACTACCAGACCCTACCCTCATCTCCAGAAAAGCCCAGAAACGTTTGCTCTGCACAGCCTGCCCCATCACCATGGGCTGGTGAGAGGGGCAGCTTCTCTCCGGTTCACTGAAGGGCAGATGCTAACTAATCTTCACACAGCTGCCCTGGGTAGAAGCCTACCTACTTGTCCACAACCTTGTAGCCCTGGGCTCTCAGCAGGAAGCTGGAGGGCCTGAGTGTGCAGGAAGCTGGAGGGCAGGCCGGGAAGGCAGAGAACTGGCCCCAGCATGACTGTCTTCCCCTAGTGGCCCTGATCTGCCTTCTTCGGTATGGGCAGCTCCTGGAGCAGAGCCGGCACTCCTGGATCAACACCACAGCACTCATCACTGGCTGCACCAATGCTGCGGGCCTTGTGGTGGTCGGCAACTTCCAGGTGCCTCCTGCCCACCCTCCTCCCCTCAGATAGGGTCTGGCTGCCTGGTGGGGCAATACCTGGAGGTTGACCGAGGGAGGGGAGGGCTGGGGAGGGAGAGCGCTGCTCCGTGGGGCAGAAATGTGGGCTGCTTCATGGAATAGCCCCTGTCTGGGCCAGGTGGACCATGCCAAGTCTCTACACTACATCGGAGCTGGTGTGGCCTTCCCCGCGGGGCTGCTCTTTGTGTGCCTGCAATGTGTCCTCTTCTACCACGGGGCCACCACAACCCTGGACCTGGCTATGGCCTACCTGCGGAGCGTGCTGGCTGTCATCGCCTTCATCACCCTGGTCCTTAGTATCCTTCCGGTACAGGGTGCGGGAACTCATCCCCTAGCTCAGCCCTTTTCCCACCCCAGGTTGGGGTTAGGGGTGGAATCTTGACCCAATGACTATTGCCCTAGGGGTCTCCTCCTCATGAGCCTACTTAAAACAGCGGGGATGGCCAAACAGGTGTTGCCGGGTCCGCGCATCCTGTGGAACCTCTCCTTAGCCCTACTCCAGGTGGGGTCTTCTTCCTCCATGAGAGCTCTCAGCTACAGCATGGGGCTGCCCTGTGTGAATGGGTGTTTGTCCTGGACATCCTCATTTTCTACGGCACCTTCAGCTATGAGTTTGGGGCGATCTCCTCAGACACCCTGGTGGCCGCACTGCAGCCTGCCCCTGGCAGGGCCTGTAAGTCCTCTGGGAGCAGCAGCGCCTCTACCCACCTCAACTGTGCTCCCGAGAGTATTGCCATGATCTGAGTCTGGAGGGCGGCTGGCCCAGCCTCCGCAGCACCCACACCCCTATCTTCTGTGCATTTATTTTGTACCAAAAACAATGTTTTAGAGGGTGTTGCTGGGACCCAGGCGTCCTAGCTCCTGGAGAAGTGGCCACCCAGCATCCACCTGTGCCATAGAGGAGGACAGCCTCTCCAGCTGCCTCTGCCACATGCCCTGCTCCCGTACCAGAGTAGTATTGTGTTAAAGGTCACTTGCCCTCACTTGCCCTGCCAGCCCTTCAGGTGCCTTCTACTCCCAGTACCAGAGCCAGACCACTGGGGTCTCCTGCGGCAGGGATTGGGGGCTGGGGCAGCAGGGCCCCTGAAGTCTGGATGATGGGAGGAGCATGCCTTAGCCTACGGGAAGGCCCACCCAGCTGCATGTGGGTTCTTCACTCTGCCCCTCACTTCCTTTAGGGCAAATAACACAGCAGACCCACAGGAGTATTTTAGTACTTTTTTATATCTATTAAAAGAATTCTAATTTGCATGTCTGCAGTCTGTTCTGGAGAATCAGGGAGGGTCTGATCCAGTAGGTAGGGATGAAAAGAAGCCCTTTCGTCCAGAAAAGATTCTTGAGGGTGACAGGTGCCATCCAAACACAAGAAAAGGGTCTGGAAATGACGGTACATACCAGTAACCCCAGCACCGGGGAGGGACAGGCAGGAGGGTCTCTTAATTTTGTATAGACCAGGATCAGCCTGGCCTATACAGTGAGTTCCAAGTCAGCCACGGTCACATAGTGAGTCTCTAAAAGCGCTAAAGGACCGACGTGGCTTTGTAGTCTCATTTCTTTCCCTACCCAGGCTGGCTTGAACTTTCATTCCTTGATACAGGGGCCTACACGGGCAGGATACAGAGAGCAACTTTTACAATGTTAAACGTTTTCTCAGTGGAACTAAAGAACAACCCCCAGGGTTCCGATGTTAACTAAAGGTTCTAAGGTTAACTAGAGTCTTCCGGAACGGGGTGGTGTAAGTTAGTTCATCAGTTTTAAACAGCTACAAAGGGCCAGGCCGACAGTCTGACTTCTAACCAAGAACACTCTGACCCAAGCCCTGGATGCTCCCAGGGCCCCACCACCCACAGTCTAGAGGCCAGCAGGGAAAGACAGCCTGGCACCTTCTGCCATGTGACACCTCTGCCATCTTTGTCATTAGCAGCAGGGTTGAGGATGCAGAGCCCCTGCTCTAGTGCATGAGCGGTGCAGCTGCGGGGCGGGTAAAGAAACCTTTAATGAAGATCAGAGTGCAAAGGGGAAGATGTCCCAGAGGCTGAGCTCTCAGCCCTAACCGCTGCCTATGTGTACATGGCTCCATGGAGGTTCTCCAGGCGGTGCTGCTGCTGCTGCCTCCGAGCCTGGAAGAAAGACAACAGGCCAGGCCTGGATCCGCGTGGACAGGGCCACTGAGCAGCTATCATGAGGCCCATTTTCAGGCTCCTAGCATCATCGGTGCTAAGGCCTTGGGTCCTCGCCAAACTAACTTGGAATGGAGCCAAAGTGAGGGGGTCAAGAGACCCGTCCAAGCCTGCTGAAGTGGAGGGATGGGGTGCCAAGCCCATTGTACCCCTCCACAGAGTCCCTGCCCCTACCTTGTCTTTCTTGTGCTCCTCATAACTGTCGTCATCAGTGGGCAGCTCATGGCGGCACAGGGGGCAGGAATTTGTCTAGGAAAATCAGAGCAGTCTCCAGCCCTTTCCTGCTCGTGATTCCCACCCCTGCTCTAACCCTTTCTTGATTTCCATCTCAGTCCATACCAAGGACACAAACACAAAACCAGGAGCTGGTGTTACGGCAGAGTCAAGGCGGGAAGGAGTACCTTACTCAGCCAGGGCAGAATGCAGCTGGGATGGAAGAGATGGCGGCAGGGCATCTCAATGGCAGTCTCCTCCTCCTCAAATTCCAAAAGGCACACAGGGCACTTGAGCTCTTGAAGAGGAAGTGCTGATCAGAACTCTTAAGGCCACACCCCAGCCTCCCACTCAGACCCAGACTTGGCCTAGAAAACTAAGAGGCCAGATTGTGGTGGCTTGCGGTAGATGGCAGGTTTGCTTATCTGCCCTAAACAGAAAGAAAAAAAAAGAACTTGTATTCTCACCAGCCTTGGAGCTACTGATGACTGTTCTGGGGAGGCTCTCCACCACAGCCTTGGCAGCTGGTGGAGGCAGGTGGTGTTCCCAATCTACCAATCCCAAGTCCTCAAAGTCCATCCTATTAAAGAGTGATCTGAGGAAGAGGGTGTAAGGTCAGGAACTAAGGAAACCACACATTTTGGGTCCCCATAATCCACTAGACCCTTAGCAGACAAAAACACCTGCCCTGGCTAATAGTAATAATCACTAGTACACAATTAAATTAAAAAAAAAAAAAGCGGGGTGGAGGCGGTCCCGCGCCCTTAATCACAGCACTTGGGAGGCTGTGGGATCGAGGCCAGCCTTGCCTGCATATTAAGTTGCAGGCCACTTAGGAATACATAGTGAGACGCTCTCAAAACACAAGATGACACCAGCCGGCGATGCGGTCAGACAACCCTACTTCGCTGTTCATTTCCATTTTGCACGAAGTAGCAGTCTCAAGGAAGTCGTTCAGGGAATGACCCGGTAAAGCCAAGTTGATTCTAGGGCGGCAGTGGGCTTCTGCGCTAGCTTTTTTTGCTAGCAAAATCCTATCCAGCTTACGCACACGGGCACAGGCCGTGACGGTGCCTGCCTCGGCCACTCCCTCCCTTTCCAGCCCAGTGCTTCCCACGATCCTCTGGCCGGCCTAGCTCATTAATGGCCCAAATTAAAGACCCCGGATAATCGCGTCTCTCAGACGAACATTCCATAGTATTCCCCCCATCGCCTAGGTTACCCGCCCTCTCCGCCAAGCCCCAGCCCAGAAACCTGCTGCCCGGGGCCCAGCTCCAAGCCCCGCGCACTCTCCTCGCGAGCTCCAGCAACATGCTGTTGCGGGCCTCGCGCTCCGGGTTCAACGGCTCGCAGTCGTGCTCGTCAAAATAAGACGCCATGGCTGCCGGGGTGCCAGGCTGGTCTGACACTAGTTCTGGGTTGCCGCTGGAGAGCCGGGTCTGCCCTGGCCAATAAGCGAGCGAGCTTCGCGAGGACAGCCAATCGGAGTGCTCGTGGGGTGGGCACAGTGGCTCGCTGACAGCACACGGGCGGAAGTACTGACTCAGACGCCTCTGGTTGGTCGGACGAGTCAGGTGACCAAAGGCTAAAGCCAATAGAGTTGGAGGACGGGGGGACTTTCCTGCGCACGCTCAGCGGGGCCCCCTGCTCCTGGAGAGGAAGATCCCACGCACTTACTGCATTTCAGGCTTTCAAAATAAGGGGTGGAGGGGCTGGAAAGATAGCTTAGCTGGCCCAAATTCTAGTTCCAGTGTCCACTATGCAACCGTCTGTAGCACAGTTTCCAGGGGGTCCGACGCTCTTTGCGGGTACACGCACACAAGTGACAGACAGACAGACAGACAGGCATGCAGCAAAACACTCAAACACGTTAAGAAAAAATACATGGTTCTTCATGCCTTTAATCCAAGAACTCAGGAGGCAGAAGCAGGTGAATTTCTGTGTGTGTGTGTGGGGGGGCAACCAAGGCTGCAAAGTGTGACCCTGTCTCAATCGATATAATAAAATAAATACAAAGGAAGGGAGGGAGGGAGGGAGGAAAGGAAGGAAGGAAGGAAGGAAGGAAGGAAGGAAGGAAGGAAGGAAGGAAGGAAGAGGAAGACAAAACCATGCATGGTCCGGAGCGCAAGTCGGGTAGTTTACAATCTCCTTTTACTCCAGCTCCAGGTAGTCTCTCTTTCCCCCTTCAACTGGCAGAAACACACATACACATAGCTTTAAAAATAACTTCTTTAAAAAAAAAAAAAAAAAAAAAAAAAAAGAGGCGACAGCCAGAGAATTGCAAGTTCAAGACCAGCATGGGCTACATAGTAAGATCCTGTCTTAAACAGGATAAAAAGAGACACGTACAGAAAAAGAAAAGCCCATATCTGATCGCTGTAATTATCATACTGTAGAGAGGTACCTTCTGCCTTTCTTTTTCTTCTCGTGGGGGCTTAGCCATAGAGCCTTGAGTCCGTGCTAAGCACCTGTTCTACCCCTGAGCTGCGCCTCCATTACTTTGGTGCCCTTTTATATATATGAAACCTGAAACCCAGAAGCCACTTGTCCAAAGTGAGTGTTGTTGACCTACCTAACAGGGCAAAGTGCTATCCTCCATCTTTCTCAGAAGAGGAAAGTAATAATAAATCCAGAGACGAAAACAAATTCCCAGAGCAGACATGTTGGTATACACCTGTAATCTAAGAATTTAAGAGGCCAGCTTGGGGGCCTTAGAGGAGACTGCCTCTGACAATGAGTAGTAAGCCTGTATGACCCTTACTTGACATAAGCTGGGGAAGAACCCTCGACTGAGAAAATCCCTCCATCCGTGACCCTGCAGACAAAGTCATTTCCTTGATTAATGATTGACGGACGTGGAAGGGAGGGCCCACCGTAGGCAGCGCCACCTCAGGACACTAAGGACTCAGGACTCAGTCAGGACTGAGAAGCCAGTCAGCTGGGTTCCTCCATGGCCTCTGTTCCCGTTCTGGCTCAGTCCCTGCCCTGATTTGCCGCCCTACTTCCCTTCATAATGGACTACAGTTATAAGTTGAAATAAACCCTTTTCTCAACAAGTTCCTGTCGGTCATGGTGTTTTATCACAATAGAAAGCAAACGATGCCAGACAGTGGTGGCTCACGCCTTTAATCCCAGAACACTGGAGGAGGCAGAGGCAGGTGGATCTCTGTGAGTTCAGGGCCAGCCTGGTCTACAGAGCAAGTTCCAGCCCAGCCAGGGCTACACGAGAAACTGTGTCTAGAAAAACCAAAAAGATAAAAATAACAAATAAAAATATGCAAAGCAAACTAGACAGAGGTTGTCACTAGGCCTGGGATATTTCTGTGACAGATCTGAACGTATTATTTGGGGGAAGATTGGTAAGGATGTTGGAACACTGGGCTGGAAAAGTTATTAAAGTCTTAGAACTTAATGAACCTGTGGGAATTTGAAAGATAATGTTGACAGCCATGCAGATGATCGAGGCCTGGCTTAATGAACTTTCAGAGGGAATGTTGAGAGCCTGTCAGAGACTCTGTTGGGTCTGTTTGTGAGGCATATTTGAATTTAGAATCTGGCGGCGGTGGTGGCGGCGGCGATGGCGGTGACGGCATGCAGGCATCTCTGTACACCTTTAATCCCTGCACTCCAGAGGCAGAGGCAACAGCCAGGAATACCAGAAAAAATAAATAAACAAAACAGGAATCTGTGGCGCTGGTCAGCTGGGGCTGCAGAATCAGCAGTGATTAACAAGAGACCAGAACCACTGACATGAAACCTTAGCTCTACTAGGACAATCCATGCTGCTTAGCTGGAGCTGAGAAATTAACAGTGATTAAGAAGAGATAAGCATTATTATTATTATCATCATGTTTTGGTTTTTCGAGACAAGGTTTCTCTGTATTGCTTTGGAGCCTGTCCTGGAACTCACTCTGTAGACCAGGCTGGCCTTGAACTCATAGATATCCACCTGCCTCTGCCTCCCAAGTGCTGGGATTCAAGGTGTGCACCAGCATACCAGCCCAGCCCCAACTCCACAGTCTTCTCTTTAAATATTTATTCTTATGTGCATTGGTGTTTTGCCTGCATGTGTGTCTGTGTGAGGGTGTCATATTTTGGAGTTACAAGACAGTCGTGAGCTGCCATGTGGGTGATGGAAATTGAACCCCAGGTCCTCTGAAAGAACAGCCAGTGCTCTTAACTGCCGAGCCATCTCTCCAAGCCCCAATTCCACAGTCTTTACCCACCAGCTCACATTGTCTTTTTGAACATCTCTTATTGGCCTGGAGATCACCAATTAGGCTAGGCTGCTGACTAGTGATCCCCCAGGAATCTGCCTATCTCTACCTTCCCAGCTCTGTGTGTACAAGAAAGCCACCATATTGGTTTTTGTTTGTTTGTTTATGTTTTATTGAGAGAGGGTCTCACTATGATCTGCCTGTCCCTACTGCCCCAGTGCTTAGATCAAGGCTAATGTTACCACATTGGACTACACCCCTGGCTTTTTAAAATGGGTCTGGGGATGAAACTCAGATCCCTGTGTTTTCAAGGCAAACACTTTATGGGTTATCTCTCTGCATGTTTCTTGTTCATTTGTTTTTCAAGATGGGTTTTTTTCTTTGTTTTGGTTTTTCTAGGCAGGGTTTATCTGTGTAGCCCCAATTCTGTAGACCAGGCTGGTCTCGAACGCATAAAGATCTGCCTGCCTCTCTGCCTTTGCCTCCCAAGTGCTGGGATTAAAGGTGTGCACCACCACCTCCCTGGTCTTCTGTAGGTTTCTTGTTTTTCTTAAATGTTTTTAAAGTGTGTGTGTACGTGTGTACACTTAAGTGCAGGTACCCACAGAGGATGATCTATCTCCCTGAAGGTGGACTTACAGGTGGTTATGAAGTGCCTGACTTGAGAGATGGGAACTGAACTTGTAAATTTGGGTCTTTGCAAGAGCAGTATGCCTTCTTAACCACTAAGCCATCTCTCTAGCCAACTCTTTGCTTTTGAGACCAGTCCTCATATAGCCCAGACTGGCTTCACACTAACTGTAGCCAAGGATGATCTTGACCTTGTAATCCTCCTGCCTCTGCCTCCTGAGTGCTAGCACTAAAGATGCTATGTGCCATCATCAAACTCTTTGTTTATACGAGGCAAGCACTCTGAAAACTGATCTGGACTCCCAGCAAGCCCTTCCTTCTTACTCTTCCCATCTAGAGTCCCATTGGTCCTGTAAGAACCCTCAAAATGTCAGAAATGATGGATTTCTTTCTAATGGGAATAGGTGCAAAGGTCTGTGTTGTGGGTTGTTTGTTGCCCATATTACACAAAGGTCTGTCTGTGTAGAACACGATCAAGAAGAAGGAAAGGAGGGGCCAACCCCTTGAATAAAGTCCTTTGGGCAACAGCTTTTTCTTTTCTTTTGGTTTCTTTTCAAGACAGGGTTTCTCTGTGGCTTTGGAGGCTGTCCTGGAACTAGCTCTAGTAGACCAGGCTGGTCTCGAAGGTGTAGAGATCTGCCCGAGTGCTGGGATTAAAGGCCACCACTGCTTTTCTTTGTTTAATTACATTAATTTAGTGTACATCGTATGTAGTATCTTTTTATGTCTGTGGGATGTGTGTGGAGGGTTTCTGTATCTAGAGTGTGTGTGTGTGTGTGTGTGTGAGAGAGAGAGAGAGAGAGAGAGAGAGAGAGAGAGAGAGAGGAGAGAGAACACACTTTTAACCAAACAGCAGCTTTTACTGAGCTCCAGCGGTGTTGCCTAATAGGGCCAGTGCAGCAGGCTGCCCTCAAGGGCCAGTCTATGGCATGATGGGAGATGCAGATGTGCACATATCCAGGATGCCCTTCAGCACTCACTCGGTGGCCTAGGCACAAGCAAGCGCCAGGATTCTCTGACCAGAAGAGGTCAGTGCAGCCATTCAGCCTGTCCTCCAGGCCTGGCTGGGTCAGTCCCCAGTCCTTAAGCCAGTGCTTGCATCCTAGGCTTAGGGTTTACTAAGAAAGTTGACCAGCAGCACAATCAGGATGATGAGCAGGCCACCGGCCACTGCCAGCCCCAGGTAGATCCGGAACCGGATATTCTCCCAGCGCTTCTTCTGGGCTAGAGTCTTGGTTGTCTTGCTGAAGGCTGAACTCTGTGGATACCCAGAGATATGGAGAGAAAGCGTTAATGGTTCCCACAGTCTGCCCTCCATCCCTGTGCCAGCACCCTCCGCATCCAGTCTGCTGCCTCTCCACGCACTGTACTCTGGGACCCTTCCAGCCTCACTCCTGACCTCAAGCACTACTGTAACACTTGACTCTCTCTGGCCCTGCTAGCTTACACCCACTTAGCCCATGGCGCCCTAAGAATGCACACAGCTCCAACGACTTCTTAGGTTTATTTCTTTGTAAGACGGGGTCTCATATAGCTCCTGCTTGGACTTACTGTGTGGCCAAGAATGAGCTTCTGATCGTCTGGGTTCCCTGAGTGCTAGGGTCACAGGTGGGCCATCGATGCTTCATGCTGTGGTGGGGAATGAACCCAGAGCCATGCACGCTAGGTAAGCACTCTATCAGCTGAACTACAGCCCCAACCCAAGTGTATCTTTGTGAAATCCACTAGTAGGAAACCAGAAGTCCAACACCGGTAAGCAAGCAAGCCCCAGCCCCCACTGACAGCCTCCCCACCAAAGCCTAAGAGCTCCCTCTAAGGGTCCTGTCCCTGCTCACCCCCCAGTGGCTACACACCATGTCCAGGAGCTGGTCTGAGCGCTGCTCCAGCTCTGCCAGCTTGCCATCACGCTCCAGGACTTTGTCGAAATTGTTGAGCATGATTTCCGTCACTTCGTCCGCCTGCCGCTGGCATCGTTCCAATTCTTTCCCTGCCTGAACACCAAGCCCAAGGTCAAGGATGCAAGAGTTCCCCTCCCAACCTTCCTCCAGCACAAAAGACCCATACTCCCCGCTCCCCTACAACGCCTGGGCATGGCAGATGAGTAATAGCATCCTTTGTGTGTAAAGGTGTGAGCTATTTGGGTTAAAGGGCTGCCTTCTGAGCAGTTGGCCTCCGGGCTCCTTGTCCAGCCGCTCTGGATTTCAGCACCTCAGCTTCTTCTATGTTACCTCAAACTGGGAGCTTCCTGGACCTCCACCTTCCCACAAAGCTTTGCTCACCTGCTCCAAGATGGCATCTCCCCAGTGTTCATCTGCCCTATGGCTTCCCGCTGACCCCCCCCCCCAAGAAGTGACAAAGAGCAGGGAGCCAGGCACCCACTCTGTAGGACTAGAAAGGTCACTGGAGCCCAGGTCACATCAGCACCTCTGCCTAGAACCCCACCCCTCCCAGACTGAGCAACTCCTCACTCCCTCTGTGGACCTCTGACCAATCAGGCCAGTTTGGCCTCTGAGCTAACCTGCTCTCCACCTCAGTGACCACCTTCTATTTCCTCTCCTCCTGGGAACCTGAGACCCTCAGGCCTTTGGCCTCCAGCCTATTGGTCTGCCAGGGCTTCACTGAGATGAATAGTTTTCAATGGAATCCAAGTGACAATCTTTGGCTTTTGAGCCTGGGCAGCACAGCTTCCCCTAACCGAAACTCACTTTGTTTTGGAGGATTGGGACGAGAAGGGCACAAGTTTCAATCTAGGGGATATGAAAGGAGGGAGGGGGAGGGTAGGGCAAGTGAGTGGGGGGCAAAAGCCCTACAGTCTCTAGATGTCACGTGCTGAGATCACGGCATGGCAGGGCAGGTCTATTCAGGAAGAGAATGCCAGAGGATTAGCAAACCACCAGTTCCCTCCCCCTGCCTAGCCCTTCCCAGACCATCCCTGTTCTATCTCCTTTCCACAGCCCCTACCCCTTCCTGCCAGCCCATGTCTCCCATTGTCCACCGCAGGCATTTTGGCACTTGACAGAATTCCACTTAAAAGCAGAGAATCCGCGTTGGAAGAGGCCCGGTAGTCACAGAGGATAGCCTCCTCCACAGGCAAGAATCCTCATCCAGGCTCGTCACAGCTGCCCTGCCCACAGCCTCAGGGCATTCCCAGGGCATGAGTCCTCTCTCCACAGCTGAGATCACAGGCTCCCAAAGGGAGGGCAGGGGGCAGCACCCTCCAGCATCCAGAAGCCTGGGATGCCAGCACCATGCTGATTATTGCTAGGACCCAGTAAAGGGGCCGGCTGCTTGATTGCCTATCCAAAAGGATCTCAGTCTCAAGAGAGGTTCTCCTGATTTGCTTATCTGCCCAGCGGGAGTTTCGAGGGACAGGCATCTGAAACCCAAACAGGTCAATATTTACCCAGGAGCTAGAAAAGCAGCTTGTTTTTTGAGTGGGGACAGGCAGACTGAGTAGGCAGAAGGTGCTCAGAGGCAAGGACACAGGGCAGGGGTGAAGAGAACAGGGGACTCATGCTTCCTCCCAGTCCTGAGTCACTTGTCATTCCCACCATGAGAGCTGTATTGCTGGACAAGGCTCCATTGTTTGAACTCCCCCGCATCCCGCATCCCAGCACTCCAAAGCACATGTTTGGGAAGAGACAAAGACTAAAAATGAGAACCACCCCCAGAGGCTGGGATGCTGGGGGGCATTTCTGTTTTTACTCTTGCAGGGGACACAGAGTTGTGTGGGGAGGGTCAGAGGACAACTTGCCCACTTTCCCATGGATTCTGGGGATTAGACTCAGGTCAGCAGGCCTGTATGGGAAGTGCTTTACCTGCTGAGCCATCCCAGGGCATCTGTCTGTCTGTCTGTCTGTCCCTTACCCCACTGTGCAGCGGCGTATGCGTGTGCTGTGAGTGGCTTTGCTGGTATTCCCACCTTTAATGCATGCACCCAGAGGCCAGAGATGATGCCAGCATCCTGCCCTTGAGAGTCGGTCTCACTGAACTTGGAAGAGTGGGCAGCCAGAAAAGCGCCAACAATTCTCATGCTTCAGTGACAAGCGCAGTGACAAGCGCAGTGACAAGTGCAGTGACAAGCACAGTGACACGCGCAGTGACAAGCGCAGTGACAAGCGCAGTGACTGACAAACGCAGTGACTGACAAGCGCAGTGACACGCGCAGTGACACGTGCAGTGACACGTGCAGTGACACGCGCAGCCTTTGCCCCAGCATCTGCCCCCTTTCTTTATCTTTCCTTTTATCTTTTTTTCTTTTCTTTTGGACAAGGTCTTGTATAGCCCAGGATGGTCTCCGACACACTGTACAGCCAAAACTGACCTGTATCCTGCTCCCGTTAGCCTTATTTCCCAGGTCTAGTAGTACAGGCGCTCTACAGTGTCAGCTTATGTGTTGCTGCTGGCGATGAAAGCCCAGAGCTTCGCTCATGCTCGCTCACTCACGCTTCCCACTGAAGCGCATCTCCAGCTCCGCTCTCTCGTTCCGGGTGCTACAGCTGCTGTTATCATCCCCACACAAGGGCCACATGGGCTCATATGCTGTGGAGAGCTGGCTGTGCCTTTTCCCCTACTACAATGAAGTCAGGCCTACTGCCTATTGGGAGCCAAGATGGGCTCCAGGCCTAAAAGGACATATATGTTCCAAGGAACATGACCACCAAGTCCCTGCCCACTTTGCCGCCCCCCACAGCTCAGCCAGAGGTAAAAGGACCCTAACTATGTGCACAGGTCTCTGCTGGCAACATGAAACGTGAATTGCTAGGGGAAGTGTCAGGGAGGAACTGAGCAAACGGAGGAAAAGAGCCATGCTACCCTGTGCCACCTGTAACTCAGCCAAGGGCCTGGCAGCGGGTAGACTCATGACAGATACTTTCTGAATGAACTGTACCTGTTTTCAGGGAGATCCCTCTCCAGCTGAGGAAAAGAAACATGCAATGCCATCAAAGGATAGTTACACACTAAGACATGAAGTACGCTAGCCACCATGGAGTGAGTAGATTACAGGGTCAGAACTGTAACCCAAAGGGTAAGTGTTGGAATGGAGCTGGGCAGAGACGGGGACACAGCCCCCTAGTGAAGGGACCGGGCAGAGGGTGGAGAGGCTGGGTGGGGCTAGGGAAAGCAGCAGAAGTTGAGGGGTGGAAACTAGTGTGAAGAAAGTAATAAAACACAACCCAGTCAGGTGTGGTGGCGTGCATAGCCAGGGAATCTCCAGTCCCAGGCCAGCCTGGGCTGCGTAGTGAGACCTGTCTCAAAAACAAGACAGAATCGTTGTCTGTAATCCCAACATTCTAGAGTCAGAAGCAAGAGAATTGGAAGTTCAAGGCCATCGTTGGCCTGGACTACATGAGACCTCTGGAGGTAGAGGCTCGGGGAGCCTACACACACAGGCTGGGAGACAGCTCAGTGGGTCAGAGCAGTTGCTGTACATATATAAGCTCCTGAGTTCAGATCCCAAGCACCCATGCAAAAAGCCACCGCAATACTCCCAGCTCTGATAGAGAGCAGAGAAAGTTTTACTTTGACTGCCATTCTAGTGTTTGATGAGAGACCTTGTCAAGGGAATGTGGCAGAGAGTCTCTCATCGATCTACTGGTGAGCAACCCCCAACCCGACCCTGGCTCCCCATTTTGTTTTACATAGCTGTGGCCGGCATGGAATTCACTATAGACCAGCTATGCTGCCGCTTGAACTCCACAGCTACCTGCCTGCCTCTGAGACCATGCCTCTTAGAAACAAGAAGCAGGGTGTGGCCAGGCATGTGCGTACCCCCAGCATGTGGGGGAGGGCAGAGCACGAGGCATGGTAGAGGAAGATTCCCAGAACGGACTAGCTCACACCCAAGTGAAAACTGTGTGTTCTGGTGAGCAACCCTATCCTCATTGCTCAGGGCATGGGAGACAGGAGGCGCCTATCTCAAAAACAAGGTGTCTGCCTGCTTCACCTCAAATTCTGCCTGCCTCTGCCACTCACCAGCTGATGACCCAACACTGACGATGCCACCTTTCTGACCAACCACTTCCTCTCTTGTAAAGGTGTGGTAACAGTGCTTAACTTCATCAATCTCATACTAGCTCAGGTTACGTGATAGAAACAAAAGCCTGACAATACCGAACCGATACTAATAAACAGCATCAATTAGTATTAATGGAGACCAAGTTTTCACCTCTTTTCCTTTTTATTAAAGACTTATTTTTGTTAACATATGAATTTTTTTGGTTTATTTTATTCAGATGAGTGTTTTTCCTGTATGTGTGTGTGGGCACCACATGTGTGCCTGATGCCCAAGAAAGTCAGAAGAGGGTGCCAGACTTCCATGGAGCTGGAATTACGGATTGTTGTGGACCGCCGTGTGGGTTCCAGGAATCAAATTCTGATCTCCTGCAAGAATAACCAGTGCTCTGAACCACGGAGTCATCTCTGGAGCCCAAAGACTTATCTTTAAAAAGTATTTATGGGGGCGGGAGCGATGGCTCAGTGATTAGAAGCAGTGGCTGGTCTTCCCATGGACCTTGGTTTGACTCCCCACACCCACGTGATGGGTACAGCCATCTGTAACTCCAGTTCCAGGGGATCTAGCAACCTACCTGGGTCTCTTCGGGCATTGGCCGTCTGAATCACCGCAAACGGGTACGGAGGACTGGACTCAGATCCTCTGCAGAAGCAGCAATTGCTCTTAAGCAATAAAGCATCTTTCCAGTCCATTTTCTTTTTCTTTCCAGGCCTAATGTAGCCCAGATGGCCTTGAGCTTACTCTGTGTATATCAACATACACACTTGGTTCCTCCTGCTCCCCCCTTTTAAAGATTTATTTCTTTTTATTTCTGTGTATATAGATATGTTGTCTGCATGTTTGCCTGTGCACCAGATGCATGCAGGGCCTGAAGAATAAAAAACAAGGTGTCTGACGTCCTGGAACTGGACTTACAGTCAGCTATTAGTTGCCATGTGGATGCTGGGAATCAAACCTGGGTCCCCTGTAAGAGCAGCTAGTGTGTTGTTTTGTTTCTTAAGATTTCTTTTTAATCTATGAGTATTTTGACTGCATGTTTGGATGTGCTCTTGGGTATGCCTGAGGAAGTTAGGTTCCTTGCAACTTGGAATCTGCAGAGGGGTGGTTGTGAGCCACTATCTGGGTGCCGGGAATTTAACACAGGTCCCTGGAAGAGCAACAAATACTCTTAACTGCTGAGCCCCCATTCCAGCCAACACCGCCCCCGCCCCTTATGAAGACATGTTGGGATCTCAGTAAGGACACCTTAGGTGTAGGTGTAAGTCCTTCAAGAGAGTTAGTTGCCTTTTCCTTTTCTTTGAAGATGCACAACCAGCCAAGGCCTTCCCTGTTGCACACGTATGCATTGATTTGCTTCTCATCTAAGTGAGGAAACGTCTGTGGATTTTTGGGAACTTCTGCTCTAGGCCCAGTGTCTGCCTGCACCCTCTTCATTGGGTGCTGCACGTATTGAGATCGTTGTTTGTGGGGAGCTGGGAATTGAACCTAGGATGTCACATACTGCAGCCCTTTCAGAAATTTAAAGAAAAGACAGCCATGAAAGAGACTCTCTATAAACTGCACAGCCTGGCCGGAGACTTGGGGGTCCTCCTGCCTCTGCCTCCAAGTGTTGGGATTATAGACCTTCAGTCTTGAGCAATAGTGGCAGCCACCTTTCAGTGAGCACATAACCTGGCCAGCACTGAGCTAGCTGTGCATGTGGGTATCTGGCTAAATCTTCACAATAACCCACTCAAGACAATATCATTGTCCCTGTTTTACAGCCCAGAGATGTTAAGTTGCCCAGAGTCAGATCTGAGGGTAGAATGGTCAGAGACCTAGGGGCCACAGTCTAAATCCTGTGCTAACCCAGAAACAGAGGGGGGAGTGTGGCGCTCCAGCTGACTGCCTGAACACTGCCAGCCACTCACTCGATGCTGCCGACTCTGCGTGCATGCACGAGAGGCCTGTGATTACACACACCAACTCTGCCAGATGAATGGCTTCAAGAATTATTTTCAGCTAAGCATAGTCGTGACCCTATTTAATCCCAAAACTCAGTAGGCAGACTTCAAGGCCAGTTGAACCTACAGAGTGGGATCTTGTCTCAAGAAAAAACAAAAACGAATTATTCCATAGCTGGCCATGGTGCCAAATAATTGTAATCCCGCACTTGGGAGGTAGAGGTAATAGCATTGCTGCAACTTCAAGGACAGCTTTGCCTACAGGGCTATAAGCAAAATAGATCCTTCTAGTCAGGCATGGCGGATGGTGGCAAAGCTTTATAATGAGTTTCTTAGCAACCTGGTCTACACAAGACCTTGTCTCCCCCCCATCACCACCAAAAAACAAACAAACAAACAAACAAGCAAGCAAGCTAAGTAATTTTTAAAAATTATTTATAGTGGGGCTGGAGAGATGGCTCAGTGGTTAAGAGCACTGGCTGCTTTTCCAGAGGACCTGGGTTCAATTCCCAACACCCACTTGGCTGCTCACAGCCATCTATAATTTCAATAACACCCTCTTCTGGATTCCACAGGCACTCACATACATGGTGCACATTGATACATGTGGGCAAAACATTTGGACACATACAATAAAATCTTTTTGTTTTTGTTCTTTTGAGACAGGGTTTCTCTGTAGATTTGGAGCCCGTCTTGGAACTTCCTCTGTTGACCAGGCTGGCTTCGACCTCACAGATATCTGCCTGCCTCTGCCTCAGGAACACTGGGACTAAAAGTTTGTGTCACCACCGCCTGGCACAATAAAATCTTTTTAAAACTGATTTATGGTTCTAGGGAGATGGCTCCATAAATAAAGCTCCTATGGCACTAGTTTGAAAACCAGAGTTTGAGTCCCGAGCATACACACAAAAGCCTAGCCGTTGGTTTGTTAACTTAGTGCTCAGCATGCAAAAACAGGGGCTCCCAAGGACAAGCTGGTGAGCTCTAGGCCCAGCCAGAGACCCTGCCTCTGTAAATAAATCGGAGAGCTGTTAAATAAGACACCTGACATCAACCTCGACTTCCATGTGCACCTAAACACGTATGTGCCCACAGGTGTGAACAACCATGCACAGAACACGGGAACACACGCAAAGACTGGTTGCTCACTTTCCCGTCAGTGCTTTGTCCTGTGGTAGCGGCACAGAGAACTGCTAAACCCTTTTTGGCCCAGTGAGTCACAGAGCAGGGAAGGAGGGGGAAGGGTGGAAGCAATTAGGTAGTCAGAGGGGTGGGCCGGCCGGCCGCAGAGAGGGGGACTTAGCTGATGGAGCTGGAGGCACCCTGAATCCCCATGCTCGGAACCCCCTTGGCCTGGAATGCACCCCAGGGTTCTGCACAGTCAGGTAGCTAACCTAGCTCGGTTCAGAATTTCTCCTCCCTAGGCTGAGGGCCAGCTGGAAACCCACCCCCACCTCCTCCATCTCTTACCCCCCACTCTTAGCTCTTAGCTCCAGCCCATTCTCAGAGCCTCCCTTAGTTTCCTGGTATGGCCTCAAAGCTTAGGGCTACCTTCCTGTCTCACTTCCCTTTCCTGCCTCCAGTTCCCTAGAGATGAAGCCATCCAGGCATTGCCATCTCTAGCCAGGCCGCATCCATCCAGCCTTAGAGTACTAAATTTGCTTCCAGTGGCATCAGAGGTCTCTGACACCTTTGCCTTGGAAATGGCAGGTCTATAGCAGGAGTATGGGTGACTCAGCCCAGGATTATGTCACTAGATAGAGCTTAGGGAAGATTCAGCCTGTGACACACTGATAATTTCATGGAACTTTTATGGTGAACATCTTATTTTCTCTTTCCCCGGGGAAAGTGTTTATCTTTCAGCGCCCGGTCTAGAGAGGCCTTGCCCAGGCATCTACTCAGGTTTCCAACCCTTGGTCCAGCTCTAGCTCCTCTCAGCCCCAGGAAGAGCCCGCAGAGGTCATCACATTACCTACTACTTCTTAGCAAAGGGTTCTGAGTGCCAGGCAGCAGCAACCACAACCGTCTCCTTTAACCTCTCAAGGACCCACTAAGGTAGGTATTGCTGCCCTTACTTTATGGCACGGAAAAGAACGCTCAGGAAGGTTAAGTGACTTGCCCGGTATTGCCAGGAGCTGGTAACTGCCGCTGGAGCGTGGGAAGCTGCAGCTCCGCTCACTCCGCCCCGACGGGGCGCACTCTGAGTCTCCTTCCCCAGCTGCCTGCAAAGTTGGGGTCTGGCCCATGCGACCAGCGTGACCCGCACCCCTGGTGTTCGGACTCACACCCCAGCACAATCGCCCTCTGCCCCTGCCCGTCTCACCATCGCCTCCGCAGCCTCCACAGCCACCGCCGCCTCCTGCTTGCCGGCTCCAGCTCCTCTGCCCGGCGCGGCCTCGGTGCCCGCCGCCCAGGAGGAAGCCGCAGGGCGGGGCGGGCCCGCGGGCCAAGGGGGCGGGGTGGGGGGCGCTCCTTCTCAGAGAGGTGCCCGACCCGGGCAAACCGAAAGCAGCAACAGGGTCTGTGGGGCGCCTCCTATCGGGCCACCAGCGTCCGATTTCCGATGACACCCCAGCCTGGTGAACTGGCCACCGATGATGTCTCTCGGATCTGGGGCTGCAAAAGGAGTTATCGAGGGAGGCGTCATTCTGTCATGCGAGAAGCATCAGTGAATGCTAAGTGGTCCAGATATCATGAGCATACCAGGATGGATGTTTGCCACCTTGGTGAGTGCATGTCACCAGAAATTGAAAACACATCAACCACTCCAAACTTCTGGTTGTTTTCAGATGGAGCAAGCAGCATTCTGAATACATTACATGTCACCAAGTTGTACACTTACAAAAGACAAATTGAGGTCTGGCCAGATGGCTCAGTGGATAAAGAAGGCACTTGATGCCAAATCTAATGATCAGAGTTCCATCCCGGGACTCACCTAGTGGAAAGAACCAAGTCCTGCAAGTTGTCCTTCTGACCTCCATACACGGGGGTGGGGGGTGGGGTGGGGATTTTTTTAAATGCTAAAATTCTGCAGAAATCCCTGCGAGCTAAAAGTCTCAGTGGTGTGTGGATGGATGAGCCTCTAAAGTTGCTGGGATGGATCCCAGCCTGATATAAAAGATGACAACAGCAGCCACACCAAGTTTTGAACCAGCAAGAGGCAGGAGAGGAAAAGGAGGCGATTTGAGCCAGTTTCCAGAGCAGTACTCAAACAGAAACCGACCTTCCCTTTCCCACAAGAATAAAATTCAGACAAACCTGGAATGCCCTGAAGAGTCTCACAGTGGGAGTTTAGGACAACTTCCCCTTAGGTCCCACCGCCAGCTGTGTGGGATTTCTCCCAGGTGGGGAAGATAGAGACTTTGAAGGGGAGTGATGAAGAGGATACTTCTTGCAGAACCAGGAAAATTTAAGGAGGAGCCAACTCGCAAACCTCTTCCTTAATCTCACTGGCCCACCCTGGCCTCAGGCCAAGTTTAAGGTTAAATTAGCTTGTTTTTAAGTACTGTGCAAAAGGTATAATCAGAAACTCAAAATGTTTAAGTGATACACTGTGCTCTGAATTTCACAAAATAAAAAACAAAAAAACAAAACCAACCGTGGACAGATATATTAAGTAGTATTGTTTTATGTGCTTAATCAAAGACTAGAATGTGGGACTGGAGAGCTAACTCAGCAGTTAAAAGTCTTAGGAACTAGCAAAAGCCCTGGCTGTTCCTCCAGAGGACCCAGATTGAATTCTCAGCACCCATGTCACAGCTCATTACTGTCCGTAACTCCAGCTCCAGGGGATCTAATGCCCTATTTTAGCCTCCAAGGGTAACCCCAGCCACGAACATGGTGCATTGTTACACATGCAAGCGATGCATCTTTGCACGTAAAAGAAAAAATAATTTAAAGAAGAAGTATTTTTTTATTATTTATTTTCCATCCTGACTTCACTTCCCCCTCTTTCTCTCCCCCTGGTCCCTCTGTCCCCTCGCCTCTCCCTCTCAGTCCAGTCCTCTTCTGTTTCTGTTCAGAAAATGCCAGGCCTCCCGTAGATATCAACCAAGCGTGGCATGTCAGGCTGTGGTAAGACTAAGCATCTCGACCTATATTAAAGCTGGGCAAGGCATCCCAGTATGTGGAACAGGATCCCAAAAGCCAGTAAAGGAGATGCAGTCAGCTCCTGTTCCCACCGTTACAAGTCCCACAAGTAGACCAAGCTACCAAACTGTCACAAATACGCAGAGGGCCTAGGTCAGTCCCATGCAGGCTTCCTGGCTGTCAGTTTAGCCGTTGTGAGCTCTTATGAGCCCAGGTTAGTTGTTTCTGTGAGTTTTTTTGTGATGTATTTGACCCCTCTGGCTCCTCCTTCCCTCTCTTCAGCAGGATTCCCAGAACTTGGCCTAAGGTTTGGCTGTGGGTCTCTGCATATGTTTCCATTAGTTTCTGGGTGAAGGCTCTCTGATGACAGTTGAGCTAGGCACCAATCTGGGATTCAGGATTCTGGCCTGGCCTCTCGAAAAAGTGTTTTTTTAAAAAGACCAAAGTGTTAAGGAAAAAATTAAATTGTTAAATGTGGCTGAGCATGGGCAAGCTTTGGGTTTGATGTCCAGCATTATATGAACCAGATGTGGGGATAAATGCCTAAAACCCCAGCACTGGGGAGCCAGTGGCAGAAGGATCGAGTTCAAAGCCCTGGTCTGATATATAGTGATTTGTTTGTTTGTTTTTGTTTTTGTTTGATTGTTTTGGCATTTTGAGACAGAGCTTCTCTTTGTAAAACCCCTTCCTGTCCTGGAACTCACTCTGTAGACCAAGCTTGTCTCAAATTCAGAAATCAGCCTTGCCTATGCCTCCCGAGTGCTGGGATTAAAGGTGTGTAAGCCACCACTGCCCAGTTACCGTATAATGAATTTAAGGCTGGCGTTTACTACACGAGACCCTGTCTAAAAACAAAACAGACAAACTGACTTGGCACTGTGGCGTTTGGCTGTGGTCCTAACACTTAAGAGGATGAGGCAGGAGGATGGACTGACTTTGAGACAAGCCTGGGCTACATAGTAAATTCCAAAATAACCTACAATAGGCTACAAAGTGAGACTTGGTCTCAAAACAAAAAAAAAAGTTTGTCATATGAATTTCACTCCAGTGTAAAAAGAAAGCAGCTTCTCGTGGGAAGTGCTAGCTCTGGCTTTTCCCTGTTCTAAACTCATGAGAAACTTGCAGGCCTGTTCCTGTGCTGCAGACGCTGGTATGCTTCTCGAATTGTGTAGTCTCCTGAGCTTCTGAGGAGAAATCACCAAACCCATCTTCCACCTTCCAGACTGCCCTTGGCATCCCAAGTGAGGCCTCTTAACCAAAACGTCAGAGACTGTCTTCCCTGGGGTTGAACCACTGTGAAGACAGAGCACTGGTTTCCACGCTTGGCCACAGCACCTCAGAACAGGCTCAGTCTTAGCAAAGCTGATCAAGAAGGGTTATTTGGTGCTTTCCCTGCCCCCTGGAATCAGGAGCATGATTCCAGAGCCTGGCCTCTGTTTAGTCTCAAACATTTGTCTCCTAACCCTGCCCTTACCTCACATCCTCCCAGCAGCAGGCTGTTTCTAACCCTGGAAAGGCTGTGGAGGAAATGGGCAGAGGTAGCCAAGAACCCTTCCCACAAACCAATGCAGACTGGGAGAACCTGGTGGGGAGGAGGGGTCCAGAAGACAGAAAGCTCATTGTGCTTCAGGCCCTGTCCTGTGACATTGACTGTGACTAGCATGGGACTCTGGGGAGAAATGCCGGCCCCCACCCCCTCACAACAGCTGAGATCCAGGGCCCGATGAAGGGCCCGAAGAGCAAGGGTGGACAAGAGACAGCCACGGCACACAGAACGAATGAATGACCAACAAAGGAAGAGCTGACTAGTTCCTCCTGCTTTTGGCTCTGAGTTAGACCAAGACCACAGAAGAGACATGGCAGAAGAAGCTCTTCAGCCAGGTCATAAACGACACAACGTCTCTGCGAACTCATCCAGGAGGACAGTTAAGAGACATGACAGGATCCACAGGGAAGACACTGCATCCTGTACCCTACCCTAAAGTGCTGAGGAGGTTTTAATTCTCCCTGTGGTGAGGTCCCTAGGAAATCCTTCTTCCTGTGGCCTGTGACAATGAACAGTGTGGTCTGAAGAAAAACAGGACGGATTGGGAGATAGCTCAGTAGGGAAAGCACTTGCTGTGCAAGCATGGGGCCTGAGTTAGGATTCCTGTACCATGTAAAAGTTTGACACATGCACCGTAACCTCAGCACTGTGGAGACAGCAGACCCCTGGAGCTTGTTGGCCAGCCATCCTAGCCAAATTCATGAGCTCCAGGCTCAGCGAGCGATCCCATCTCAGAAAGTAGGTGAGGCCTGGAGCTGTCACTCAGTGGTAGAATGTGCTTATACCACATACACGATACCATAGGTTCAATCTCCAGTATCGTCAGGAAGAAAAACAGGCCTGCTAGACAGTAAGGTGGAAAGCAAGGAAGACATCCGACATTAACCTCTGGCCTCCACACATGCATCCACAGGTACATGTGCGTTCACCCACACACATGTGCATTCACACATGCACATATATGCAAGATGGAAGGGAGGGAGGAAGATGGATTGGTGGCTCTTTGGTTGAGAGAGCATGTGTGGTGGCACACGTCTTTAATCCCAGCACTCGGGAGGCAGAGGCAGGGGGATCTCTGAGTTTGAGGCCAGCCTGGTCTACAGAGTTCCAGGACAGCCGGGGCCACACTAAGAAAACAAAACAAGACAAAAAGTACAAACTGTTCAACAATCAGCTGCCTACAGGAGACCTGAGCAAGGACAGCATCAATAGGCTTGCTAACACGGGAGGGGGAATTGCAAGATGCCCCATCTCTGGACAAAGAACTATAGGCAATTGAGGGATGCTGAGAGGGAAAATAAATCAGTCTTCCCCAGAGATAAGCTCCTTATTCCGTTATCCAATACTAAGGGGTCAGCCCTGCAATCATGTGCATACAAGCTACACCTAACAGACTCAGTAAGGTAGGTGTGTGTGTGTGTGAGTGTGAGTGTGTGCGTGAGAGTGTGTGCGTGAGAAACAATAACTAAAGAAAAAGGCCATGAATTAGAGGAGTAGTAAAGGGAGCATGAGGAGGTTGAAGAGAGTAAATGCAAGGGCAACACAGTATAATTATATTTTAAATAATAATAAACTAGATTTTTGCCTGGCAGTGGTGGCCCACGCCTTTAATCCCAGCACTCAGGAAGCAGAAGCAAACAGATCTCTGTGAGATTGAGGCCAGCCTGGTCTACAAAGTGAATTCCAGGACAGGCTCCAAAGCTATACAGAGAAACCCTGTCTCAAAAGCCTAATAATAATAATAATAATAATGGGT